TACCTCCTGTTCCGTGATCTTTTCTACAGTTCGAAGAGACCTTGCCTTTTTTGCGTCATATCATGAAAGTACAGTAAATCGCCAAACCGTACCGGTGATCTCCTTGAAGTGCGATTCGACACCGAGAAACGGCATACACATCTCCAGGTAGAACGGCAGAATGGTTAACATATCGATGATGTTGAGAGTTTTCCGGAGAAATTCACCTCGCTTCGGGTATATAAGCAGTCTATAAAAAAATGTGTTTATATAAAGCAAGTGGACACTTCCACACCTGAAACAAGCACAGAAACGCACACGAAGCCTGGATTGCGGCTGAAACACCACCTAGTGCTAAGGTCTCGGATCAGCTCTTGTTGGAGCAGTTCGGCGACGGGGGGGGAAGGAGGGTGAGGAGGGCATTTTGCTAAGCAGCGATGTGTCGACCCATCTAGATAGCCTTTTCTTGAGTTGACACGTTTTACCATGGTGGCTAGACGAGCTTGCTCCAGCTTCACAAGAGTTCACAGGTTTCACCAGAGTGAGACTTGTAAACCGGAGGTAGTGAAGCAGTGAATGTGCGAAAAGCCCCTCCCCGTCGCCAAACTGCGCCTCTCTTATTTTCTAGTGAGATAGACGTTCAGATACATGGTAGCTTTTACCTGGAATTAGCCTCGGACAAATCAAATTTGATGGTTTGACATTCCTTCACGGAAGGACATCGCACAATGATATTGACTTAAAGACGGATATTTGGATTCCCAAAAAGTCTTATACCTTCCGTAAGTAGGAAACTTGGTATAAAACCATAAAAATTGTGCACTTCTCTAGCTTTCGCGTTGCGCAAGAGCAGACTGCAAGATTGCCACGCCCCCCCCCCCCTTTGGGGCCCTGCGGACAAGTTGCCAACGTGCGTGTGACGCCGCACTTTTACTCATCAGCCCCTCATTTGTCTGCTCTCGCGTTTTCGTGCAGTCCCTCCCCTTCGCCTGCTGTTGATGAAAGGGCCTTAATTACGGGCGTTTTCGGTGGTCACACTTGTTTTTAACCCCTGTATCCACCATTTGTTATAGCGAAATATGTCTCAAATGCAGTGAGGCGGGGCAGCAGCTGGATAGAATTTGAGTCACACCGCTCACCGCAGGGTAGCACAGGCTGGACTGTTCAGCTCCCTTTCGCCAAGCTATGATCCGTCCTCAGCCAAGCGCACACTGCGTCACATAATCTTAATTTGGTCGTCTTATGAGCACTATCAAGGCAAAGTGCATCAGCACCGAAAATCCGAATTAAGCGGGGGTCTAGCGCTTAGGTAGTAATTGGGAAGGGGAGAAAAACTTGCCCGCGCCCTCCCTTCCCCAAAAAATGTTGGGTTCAGAGTACAGAGACCTGAGTTGCGGAGAGATACAGAAGGAAATTGTATCGCAGAAACGACAAAATCTTAAACATAATTCTGAGCATCTGATGGAAGGGACACACGACTGGCGAGTGGTCCCTACCTCCTTCCTCCAACTATTATACACTCCCTATCGCTGAGACAGAGTAGGGTGGCACTGGAACATGGCATAGAATGGGTTACACGTGGGATGACCCAGTTCGAGTCAACTGCCATCTTGTTCTGTATTGGACAGAGACACGACCACAGTTGTGTCAGAAGAGAAAATAGCACTCCACAAGCATCACCTTTAGTTGAAGCAGGGGGCCACGCCTACGCCATTTTAGAGATTTCGAGTGTACGTTAGGCGGCGGGGAAAGGAGGCAGGACCAACTCGCAATCGGAACGCTCACTAGATATGTAACAACATATTCAGTAATAAAAAAGTCTGAACTGACCTTATTAGGTACTCAAAGGTGAACCATCCAATGCAGACGTACTCGAGTAGTACGAGAACAAAATTCGGACTGTCAGTCGGCCGATAAACGAAATTAGGAAAGTCCTCGTTTTTTGTAGCCGATGGGAGAAATTTGTGGAGTTTCTCCGCCTGCAGTGCGAATTAGAAGACAAATAGAAGTACGGTGTTAGTTTATTTTTAAAGATCGTTTCACCGTCGCTGTAATTTAGAATGAGTATTGACTTTTCCCGAAGAAATCGCGAATATCTACCATTTTTTTGTCATTAATTCACTAAAGAAGAGCGACAGACCTCCACAAAATTCCGTGGAGAACGGGAAACGAGATTCGCGGTGAAGAAAATCCTCACGACTGGTGGGGACGAAAAATTAGAGCCCATTATTCGTTTAATTGAGTAATAAAGGGAAGAGGGACAAGACAATCGTAATTTGTCGTGTTGCGCGCGGAGTATTATGCGGCGATGCGCGGCAAATCGTTGCACAGTTGTTTGTCTTGAAGCACGAAAACTCTCATGAATTCAAGCGAAGACAAAACTCCATGACAGGCGATACCGAATACCGAATCCTGTAGTTTTAACACTCGATTCAGAACAACTCGTCCGTAAGGAGCGGCGTCGCTCGCAAACACGTACCAAACAAGCTTCAGGTCACCAACCTCACTGGTCTTAGCGTGCATTGCATGATATGCAGAAGCATTGCTAGGATCTTCTTGAAATTCTGGCATTGAGCCAAGTATCAACCCTGGAACATACTCACTGACGCTTGATGACATCCATCTTATACTAGTTAGAATCGTAAAACTTACCGAAAACACTACCAAAGACTAAAACAACCGAGAGAATGGCAAAAATAGCGGCTGGCACCGATGATTGTGGATCCTCGAGAAATCGCCAGGTGGATAATCGGAACGACTGCAAGCATGCCTGAAAATAGAAACTCTCAGGGACACGTAGCCTTCCCAAGACCGCTGTCTAGTTTCAAGGAATATTCCACAGAAAGCGTATAGGCAAGATCCTGTAAGCACTGCGCCTCCCTCATTGGCACCCCATGTTGTGAAGGGAACCCAAGGAGAAATGAGGACCTAACACTCCGCCCATCTGCTTACTGCTGAATTTGTCTCTAAGCACTCACTCCATCGAAGTCCGTTTCAAAGTCGTCAATGGCTGGAGCAACTGGAAGTTGAGGTTTTCCTGATGAGGTACTTCTGGGTAACATGCAACACGATGCCATCTGAAAGCAGTTATACTTCAACTCATCGCAGAATTTAACACTTGTAAAAGCTTTTGGTTAACAACGTAAATTCAGGTAATGAAACCCTTTTTGTGAATTGCAGGGGCGGCTATAGTTGGCATGGTCGCAGTTAGTCGCTACGGTGCCGGAGAGGAATAAGTCCTGCTCCAGCTCTCTTTCTCCAGAAAAGTGATCGTCGGATTCTAGT